TTTTTAAAATGAGATTTAACTGTAGTATTCTACAACTATGCTACCACTAAACATATGGATTCAGCCAAATGTCAGTAATAGAGATAAGTTGTTCAAAAATGTTTGTATTCTTGCCTTTTGCAGCATTCATCGGGACTTGCAGGGAACAAATTTGTCATCATAATAAACTATAATATGAGGGTAACATTTGAAAACTCTATCTAGATCAGAATAAGGTTCAACAATTGATAGCAGGATACAGGCAGATAAAAGTAAAGATAAAGGTTCACCTCACACATATGTGCTAGCCGTTCCCGACTCTAGGGAGAGGAGTTCATCTCCATTTCAAAGCCAAAAAGCCAGCACTGTCCGAAGACGTCTCTGTGGTCATGTGACTGGCATGACTAAACGCCGAAGGTGCACAGAACGCTGTTGCCTTTCCATCAAAGGTGGTTCCCATTTTTCTATTTGCATTTTTACGTGCAGTAACAGGCACACAAAAACGAGAGTAGCATGTAGCTTGTTTCTTTATTTTAATGAATTGAAGAATATTCTGTGTGATGAGGCTTACTAATCAAAATGCAGTCTATGGGATTACAATTGTTTAAATATTGACAACTCCATTAAGAGAAGAGCAAATATTCAAAGAAAAAGAAATAATTTTCATATAAGAAATTAGAAAAAGAAGTGTATTACTTCTAATTATTTTGCGGTACCATCTAGAGCAATAACTATTATTGTGCTATGGTAAGTTGATTAGCAACTTTACTGTATCTCCTAATACTTATTATATGAAAATATTACAAAAATACATCAAAATAAACAACATGATATAAACTTAAAGTACTAAGTAAAATGTATCAACAACACATAAATGAGGAAAAATAAGTGAAGAAAAATGTTTGAAAGCACAATATTTTATAAAGGAATATTTTGGGCGTATCTAGATTAACAAAACTTCTGCTGCCAAAGAGATTTTAAAGGAAATGACAGAAGACTTTTTATTTAGAGTCTGAAAACCTGGCCAGGACAAAGCAAATATAAGTTATCATGTGAAATGTTTCTTAAAGAAATTAAAAACCACTAATGAAATCAAATGTTTATCTGTCACTTTTGTTTATAAGCAAAACAACACATGACATTATAAACAACCCTCTACAAAAGAAATTCAATAAAATGAGGAAAAGAACAAAATTACCATAAATATCAAACTTAAAGGTAACCATAACTTTGTGTCAGTTCCTAAAGCAATCTGTATTCCAGTATTACTTTTTATATTTCAAGTTGATTAAATAAACATGTTGTTCATTTAAAATCTTTTAAAATGATTCATGGGTTTAGAACTGAATTCAGCATATTAAAAACATGTTTTTATTTATCCACAAGATTTCTTATTGCCAATTAAAAGTTGTGTTCAAATATCACACTAAAACAGGTCACTGTATAATAATGGAAATAATTTTTTTACATTACGAAGCATTTGAGAGAGGGAGGAATGTTCTATCAAGATGAATACAATTTTTTAAAAAAGAATTTGGTTTCATGCAGATGTTCAATTGTACTGAGTATTAGACCCAAAAAAAGTTTTACTCATATAGAATCTATAACACGGATCTTGTAACTTGCATTTATATGAAATAATCTGAACTGTTTTGAATTCTAGCTTACAACAACCTACACTGCTTCAATCTCTTGCAATAGACAGCCTTGTAAACAATTTTATCCACAAAACCAGCCTTGGATGGATGACCCAAGACAGATATTGGATGTAGTTTAGATATCATTGTTATCTATGGTGCAATTCTTCGCAACATAACATCAATTACTACAGCCTTCTAAGATATTTGGCTGAGACCTAGATCTGGAAACACTACAAAGCAATGCTCCCATTTTGCTGAAGGCAATATTCAGGTTTATGACCATTGGCATATGGCTTCACAAGGCCATAGTATCCTCTACGCATTTTAGTTTCTGTTTCAAGGATCCTCAACTTTGAGGAGAGAGGGAGGAAATTGGGCACATTTAGACTATTGAAAGCATGTCATTAAAAATAAGAAATGGAAATGTGGTAGATTACAAAGCCAAGTGCATAATCATATCAAAAATGCTTTGGATGCCTGTACAAGACTAGGAGGCATTCTTGTAAAATGTAAATGCAATAAGTGCTGTAACTGGAAATGATCTAAAAAAAAGTGCATTGCCAAGATAAAAAGCACCCAACGATGCTGGATCAGTTTGTCTTTAGGCAAAATAAGATTATCACTGCAGTCATTTTGGGAAAGTATCCATATATTATCTCACAATTCCAAATGTTTCCAACAACCCCCCAAAAAGGTGCAAGAATCTAACATCTAGTTACGTTAGTCATGAAAGCCATCCTAAGAGAAAAAAGGAACTCATCTGGGAGAAGCAGCTGCCAAAAGGGAATGAGGCAAATAGATTCTGCTGCCCCTTAAGAGACCACAAAGGGAAAAGGGAAAAAGATGAAAATGAGAAAGGAAACACAGGATAATCAGATGCAGACAAAAATGGGAGTTTCAGTAAGGTAGGAGAGCTCTAGAAAAAATAATGATATACTGTAGCTTATGATAAATGAAATAAAGTAGAATTAAGCAGGCAAAACTAGTCAATGAAATGAAATATGACCCAATGAATATGAGTTCATATATTTTCTTTAGCAACCTGATCCTGCAAGTCTGAATCAACTTACTTGGGAATAAGCCTTACTTTAAGTGGACGTGTATAAATTACCCTGTGAATTAATCATCCACAACACTAACAGTGAAGTATTCAAAACATTTTTACTGGGGAATAAGCTTATCTGAATAAAAAGGAATCTACTTTCAAGCAAATAGGCATAGGATGGAAATGAGCTAACCATTAGACCATACTTTTTACTTACATTAGTCCTAAACAAATATGGGACTTCACTAGTAAACATTGACTATTAATCACTTTTCATTTTTTTTAAAGTACTGTGTATGCTTTTTTTGTGTAGTTTGGGAATCTTATCCTCCACTCCTCATCACTGTCTTCTTTTCAAGAAAACAAATTGGGAGCTTTTTAGAGCTTTAGACCAGTTAGTGTAAAATCTTTTTGCACATTTAATGTTGCGGTAAATTGAAGAAAAAATGGCAAGGGGCCAGTACACTGCAACAAATAATACATGGCAATTTTGAAAAGATAAATTCAGATCAGTAACAAAGTTTAAGAATAAAAAGCTCATAGTACTCAATGCTTTCACTTTATGCAAAATAAATAAGGGTTGTAAAGAGGGTGCAGTTACAGCCAGTCACAGCTTTCTAACATACATTGTTACTTCCACTAGCCAGTCATTATTTCTTAACCCAACCTCCCTCCATATGGTAATTGTTGGGAGAAAGAAATAACAGGCAACACCCATCTTCACCACCTTGAGCTCCCAAAGAAAGGGCACAATGTATATTGTAATAAGAAATAATAAACAGTTTGTCTACTTTCACAATGCCCTTTACAATTTTTTCTAAGCTAAAAGCATATGACCTATTTGAAATAACATATAGAGCTATTTTTAAAAGGTAGAAGTACTAAAGAATAAACTTTGAACTTGAGTGATAATTCAGAGATTTGATGTCCTCCCTTAGTTAACAATGATTTTTCAAATCATTTAATATTCACTACAAACTGTGCACATCCAGATGTGTACTTTTACCCATATATACTTGCACCATGTAACAATAATAAGGGTAAAAGAAGTCCAAATAGAATCATTTGGCTACATCTTCTGTCTTGTCTCTTCCTTATGGCCCACTGAACACTGGCAAATAGGAGCTGTTGTAAACAACATGCCAAATGTCTTTTAAGCTACTTGAATAGTCTTTGCAAGAAGAAGAATAAGGCTAGCCAGGGAGCAAAAAGAAGCTAATACATTTCTGAAAACACCACACTATATTGCTTTGCACAAAATTGTAAATGGTGATTCATACCAAGTAGGCGGCTCTCCCAGAATAAGCTATTTTGTTTATGCAGAATTTGTGATAATACCAATTCTAAAAAGGAAGGGGTTCAGGGTCAGTGCACGGCTTATATCCTGTCATTTTAAGACTGCTTTAGGAAGAGAGGGGAAAGGTGCAGTGAGAAGATATAGCTAAAGCACTCTCAAAATGGCTTGTTGAAGTAAATCGAAATATAAATGTAAAGATATTTTAAACCTGGTGTTGCCAAAGTATGAGATTCAGGGAAATTGTCAGGAGAAAAAAATTGTTATCATCCTCTGAGAATAATAACACAAAGCAGATCTAAGAGGAACCAGACCTAAACAGTATGCACATTTCAAATCTTATTAAACATCAACATCAGATAGTGTTCGACGATGATCAAAACGATCTGTATGTGTGTGAGAGAAAGAGGGAGGAGGGAGGGAGAGAACAATATTTAATATGCTGTTCCTGCTTTCACCCCTGCACAGCTTTGCAGAATTGACACTTAGCTGAAAAGCCATTTACTAACAAACTGAATGCTCTCGGTGAACCGAAAGCAGGAATAGTTCAAATCAGGGCAATCAATTCTTTACTATTAAGCCCCTTTTCCCTTCCTCCCATCCAGGAAGAAGCATTGAAAACAGAAGCGAAATATTGTAAAGCCAAATGCCTTCTCACCACGTCCTATCCCTCATGCGCAATTACCATCCGGTCCGGACTATCCTCTCCCGTGCACCCCAAGGGAAGGATAGTGGGAGACAAACAAAGTCGGTCTAAGGCTCTTTTTTTGTTACGGTGCTATCATATTGGGTTTCAGCAGAGCCTAATTTTTAAACAGCCCATCCACTCACACGTGCCAAAAGAGTAGACCCTCCACGGACGTCGTCCTTCCGCCTCTCCAATTTCTCCCAAGCACATCTCCAGCCACCGGAGATCGCTGAAAACCCACCCCACCGCTTTGCTGCCTCCCGGGGCTGAAAGGAAGCCGCGCCGTCGCCCTCTCGCCTCGGGCCAGGCCCCTGACCTGCGCGCACGGCAGACAATGAGCAGCCCTGAACTCACCAGCAGCAGGAGCCGCGCCGAATCTCTGCCGCGCCGGGGCGGTCCTCGTCCTGCCTTAGCCTTCCGAGCTCCTGGCTGGCACCTCCTGGCTGGCACCGCTGCACCGCCACCGCCCCCTCGTCTTCCGCAGGCGAGCCCTCGCCAGCTAATGCCACCGCCCCAAGCACGCTTCCTGTTCTTCCCGGCTCTTTCCCGGCTCTTAGAGTCACTTTATACCCCTCGCCACAACATGGCTGCTCCCCCCCTCCCGCCCGCCCGCCAACTAGACCGGGAATCGCGCCGTTCGGCCTTTGCTGTTGCGGCGTTACTTCCTTTGCTCGGCCACGGTACGACTCCGGATGCTGCTGACGATTCCGCCGCCCTGCGCGTAGTTGCCAAATAAGAACGACTGAGCGGCCGCCCAGGAGCACCAGATCCCTGCGAAGCAGCCGCAGCGCAGACCCGAGCCAGTGCGACAGCTAGCGGCTGGCGAGTGGTTTGCTGCCTCTGCTACTGCCGATATGGGACTAAATTGGAAAGGGAGCCCACGGCCTTCCCCGACTGCAATTTAAAGTTGTAGTAGTCTTTCTTTAGAACCCTTAACCTCGCTGAAGAAAATCCGGGCCGGGATTGGATACTTAACACTTTACCACTACGATATTTTATCTACATATTCCTGCCAATGCTGTCTATTTGCCCGGAACAACCCCTGTATTATACCTATTTCTAATTCGAAGAGCATTTCTGTTTTGTTTCTTTTATACATTTTCCGTTCTGTATCCTACCTATAAATTAAAGGTTGCTGAAGGTGTTTGAATAGGAACTATTAAAATCAACAGAGATATGGACATTTATTTTTATATATCACATAGCCCCACTCAAAAATATGACTGAATATTTTTGAGTAAAATTTTTGAGACTGAAATCTTAGCTTAGAGGTTATGTTTTGTGATTGCTCCTGATGAAAATAAAAATCAAGTTACAGGGTCTCATGGTCTCTTGATCTTTCTACATGGCTTCAAATAGACCCTTCTGAGGTTTTATTCTTGTATTTAAACATTTTTTTCTATTAGCCCTGATTTTGTGTATCTTCACTTTTTAAATTTATTTTTCTTTTCTTTTCTTTCTTATTTCCTTTAATGAGAATCATAAGATTCAAACAACTGAATACAAGTTTTACTTCCAAGTCCCAGCCATCTCTTCAGCCGGTATGTTAAGGCTTCAACTAATTCATTTTTAAAACTTACTTGAAATGCAATCACTCAAATATTTGCAGTGCAATCAAGGACACCAGTTTAATTGATAGAAGTTGGAAACATATTTTCTGCTGCAGATTTTATATACTGTGTACTTCTTATTTTATTGGCTAAAATTCAATACTCAACACAGTGCCTTTCAATAAAATATTTCCCAAAGTGTTTAGAAGAGGTAATTTAAGCTTGCATAGCAACAGTTCTTAACCTAATGAAAAGGGATTTCTGGTGTTGATTTCAAGTCTATGCAGTCAAGCTTGGAGACTAGCAGGTCAGGTGGGTACTAAATGGTTCCTCAGAGGATGATATAAATTCAAAGTATTAAGTAAAATGTATCAAAGTAAAATGTAAAATATAATGCTTATAGTGTAGAACATGCCTGACTCAATCTGGTGTGAATTATGAGTAAATTATGTCCCTGATAATCCAATGCCAGATTAGTGAAACAAGTGAGTATTTTTTTTACAAATTCCAAGTCACCTTCACTGTGATTGGCAGGCTCCCCCCTCCCAGTTCTTAAAAAGAAGGGGGAAAGAGAGATACTGGTACCTGAGCTCTGCATTAATGCCTCCAGATAACTAGTTGCAAAACCCATTGTGTTGTGTGTTACTGCTTAAGAAAGGGCTGTGCTGCTTGGAGCTTAAATGTCCCATAAATGATCGTGAGTTCTTTTCTATGCATGCATATGCACAAGCATGTTATGATTCTCTACAAGGGTCAAAAATGCTACCATACTTTCCCCTAGGTCAGTAATTGCAGATCTATCATACATGTGTCACAGGTGACATGCCATGTAATTTTTGCTGACATACCAGACCTCCAGACTGGATCCTCTGGAAGTTCTGTGAGAAGGCCTTGCTCACACACAGCCTTTGTGCTGTCTGAAAAATACTGAGCATTCTAACCAGTGGTGGCTTGCCAATATTTTTACTACCGGTTCACGCATGCTCCCACATGCGCTGCGCATGCGCAGAAGCTTCCTGCCGCTGCTACTACCAGTTCGGCTGACCTGGGTGCAACCCACCTCTGATTCTAACACAATTTTTCCAGGCTCCAGAGGTCCTGTGAGAGCAGGGCCCTCCTGTGTGACTTCCAGAGATCTGGAGAAGAGATGCCGAAAAGGCCTCTGTATCCAAGGATGTGTGTGATGTGACACACCAGCAGAGTCAAGATAGGCATTTTCTGAAATTATGACATGCCGAGCTCAAAAGACTCACCATCACTGCCCTATGTTTATAGTTCACATTACACCAATGAGCAGATCCTTGGGTACATGTGCAAGAGGAGTTGTTGGCTGAGGATGTAGATCACAGACTTTTATGTGGGTGATACTTTCCATTCCTTGGAAGTAAAAATATGCATTTAATGCCGGAGTTGTCCAGCATTTGTGCTTAGTCTATGTAGGTCTCCATTGTTCCCAAGAAACATGCAAAAGGCTGTTAACATGGCACAGTCACTAGTACTCCAGCCTCAGATTCTGTTCTTTGCTGGTTTTGGAAGCACATTCTTCCCAATGGCAGCCTGCTATTGTGAATAATTGTTAGTTCTGTACCTTGAAGACAATTGTTTGCACCCACAGATAGGTGATAGCCCCCAAGGACCAATTGTGGAGATAAAATAATATGTTCCCAGAATGTATTTTCTGTCTATTGGTTGCTGTTTTTCATTGGTTGGACCAACATGAAACTACACTGGAGTGATTTTATGCATTCTGTAGGCAGGACAGGCTACAGCCTGGCCCTTATGCATGCTTCCTCAGATCAATGATTTCCAGATGTTTTCCCACAGGCTAAATGTTGCCTCACTCCCTGTGATCTGGCAACTGGGTGTTTGATGGAACAGCATCTCTCTGATGGCAATTAAGGTTTCACATGGGACATGCCAAGGGCCAGAAAACCGAGAAGCATATCATGCTGCTCTGGTCCTATTCTATCACCTGTTGGTTACATACTTCTAAGGCAGAAACAGATGTTGTCCTTCATTAACACACATACCCCTAAAATTTCAATCAGTGCTGAATTTAGACTTGGTAAAGCCTTAAGCTATATAAAAGTTGAAGGTCGATTGTTAAGAAATTATACCAGAAGGTCTCATTAAAGTGTGTACCAAAATGAGGATCTTGGCTCACCACAAAAAAGTTGAAAATATATGTTCCTTTTAATTATCTAATATATAGATAAAGTGAAAAATAAAATTATTTTCACATGAATGCATTTAGTGGTTAAATATTTATCACTTGGCTGGCTTGATTCTCATAGATTATAATATAGTACTGTATATTCTGAAAATAATGCTTAAATATAATTTTAAAAAAATCAAGATGCATTCACACACACACACACACTTGTGTACATATGGATACATCATGTACTGCATGTATGTGTGTGTGTGTATGCATATACACACACAAAATGCTAACAAAATAAGTAATATCATGTTTTTTATAATATAAATAATGAATTTGTTTGCAAAATGAGCAAACTGATACCCTGCAGATTGTTAGCTCTAAACTATAGCTTGTATACTTTATGCCTAAATCCAGCACTTTTCAGGGTGCAGTTTGCTGCTCCACTTCCAATGTACTCTTCCTCATGTTAGGTTGCTTCAATGTCCCTATCCATTTAAGATAGGATACTTCAGTTTGTTGCTGCATATTGACCCGAATAGTTCATTACCTATCATACTTCGCAGATACAGGAACATACTTTCAACTGAGTCAAACATTATCATTTTCTCTAATACCATCCACTATCACTTTTTACACATCCATACTGAATTTAGGGAAGTGTTTACTGGGCACTTCCAGTAAATTTCTCTGGCCTATGACTTTTAGATTAACATTCACTTGAACTTTCATTTTGGGAAAGTATTACTTAAAATACCATGTTCTTTATATTTGAAGCATTTGGAGACTGCTCTGTCAGAGAGTCTGCCCTCTATAGTGGGTTGGGTGATACTTGATGTGTGGTACTGTTGCAGATGTACGATAGTGTGGCTTCTAGGTTAATCCTATCCGGCTGGCAGTAACTCAGGCAGTAACTCACTCAATAATTCTTTGAGCCCAAACTTTGGAATCCTCCACCTTGTGGGCTACCAGCCCAGAGGTGAAATCCAGCTGGTTCTGACAGGTTCTGGAGAACCGGTAGTGGAAATTTTGAGTAGTTCGGAGAACTGGCAAATGCCACCTCTGGCTGGCCCCAGAGTGGGGTGGGAAGGGAGATTTTGCAGTATCTTTCCCCTGCCATGCCCACCAAGCCACACCCACCAAGCCACACCACACCCACCAAGCCACACCCATAGAACCAGTAGTAAAAAAATTGAATTTCACCACTGTACCAGCCTATTACTTATATAGTCATGGTTTATGTCAGGAAGATTTGATTGTAGAACTATTCAAGTAGTTGGGCCATAAACTGCTAAAGTTGCATCAGCACAATACTTCTTCAACTATTCTGGTTCCTGTACATTCATGCCAGATAGCAAACAGTAAGTCATTTTGAGAATAAAAACCTGATAGAAATTGAGCAGCTTTTGCCATAATTATCTTTAGTTCTATCTGGCATTTTCTTATAGGGTTTTTATCCTTGGTCTTAAATAATACATAAATATTAATATTGATCTGAGACATGTTATAGGCCATTAATACCGTAATAGGGGACCAGTTAAATATTCAGAGTTGTGCAGAAAATGGTTGAGAACCTTAACCTACTTTTATTTTGAAAGTATAAGAATGAGAATTGCTGGCAGTGTTGCGGTAAAAGACACATTGCTATTCAGCTTCTTTGTCTCCAACTGATGAGACCATTCATTCCTTTTCTTCTCCTTACAGCTCTAATCTTCTAAAATTCAGCTTTTGAATTCTTTTTTTCCAACTGGAATGCCAACTCTTTGTTTCTTCTTTTTTTTCTGGATTTCCAAATTTCTCTGTAGTCTCTGTAGACTAAATAAAACAACGTAAAACGACTAACCATCATCATCACCATCACTACTGCCACCA